CGGCCATCCCCTGATTATACCAGAGGTCAGTCTCGAGAGACTGATTCCCTTAGTACACTATATAGCAGCGTGGAAACTACTGCCAAATATGTCTCAGTGGGTCCTGCACACTGTAGACAGAATCCACAGAATCCAGTTTGGTTCTCCTTCTCCTCCCTTCAACGGGGTTCTTCCCACCCTGGTGGGGGCTCTGGTAGCTCTGGTAATGGAACAAGAGGTAGATACCAAGGGGTTCTCCCCGAGGGGAAACCTGCTTTGCATGCTCAAGGTCACGCGGAGGTGCCTACGTGCCTTCACCCTGCCCGCGGTCTGTGGAGCAGTTGCCATCTCACTTGGCACATCAACTGCCTGGAGATGCTGGCCATGTTTCGAGCACTGAAACACTTTCTCCCAGACCTAAGAGATCGTCATGTGTTGGTGCGCACTGACAACACAGCGGTGGTCTCTTATATCAACTACCAAGGAGGTCTGCGTTCGCGCCCCTTGTACAAGCTGGCGCAACAGATCCTTGTGTGGGCCCAAGGGAAGCTCCTTTCTCTAAGAGCGGTTTACATCCCTGGGCATCTCAATATGGGAGCAGACATCCTGTCGAGGCAGGGGCCGAGGCCCGGGGAATGGAGGCTTCACCCCGAGATGGTGAAGCAGATATGGAGAATTTTTGGCCAGGCTCAGGTGGGCCTGTTTGCTACTCAGATGACATCGCACTGTCCCCTCTGGTTCTCTCTGACTCATCCAGCTCCGTTCAGACTGGACGCTATGGTGCAGACTTTGCCGAGGCTTCGTCTGTACACTTTTCCCCCGATCGCTCTGCTCCCGGGAGTTCTGGAGAGAGTGCGCCGGGACAGGGCCCTTCTGTTGTTAGTAGCCCCGTTCTGGCCCTGGCCGAGTATGGTTCTCGGACATGATTTCCCTTCTTGAAGGCTCTCCATGGGAGATCCCCGTCAGGAGGGACCTCCTCTCACAGTCGGAGGGCACGATCTTTCACCCCCGCCCAGAGCTGTGGAAGTTATGGGTGTGGCCCCTGAGGGGGCACAACTAGTAGCTTCCGGTCTCTCAACTGAGGTTGAGACCATCCTCCAATCCAGAGCTCCCTCAACGAGAAAACTGTGTGCCTTGAAATGGAAACTTTTCATTTCTTGGTGCAGAGACTGCCAGCTTGACCCAGCTAACTGCCCGGTTGGTACAGTTC